ACCGCAGCACTTACCTTGTGTGGTGCGTCAGCACAGTATTGGCTGCCACTATCATCCCATCCATGTCCTTCCCTGGTCCCTCTCTCCTCAGAGGGTCCTTCTCTGGCCATGCATCCTGCCCTCCTGCTGTCCTCTGTCTGTGATGAGGTGCTGTCTGCCTTCCCTGAATCTGTCCCCTCCTGGTCATGTGCTCCCCAGTGCAGTGTATCTAGCTGCTTGGTTCCAAAGGTCAGTGTCACCTGTGTGTCACTGAGTTCCCGCCCTCTGGAGTTTTCAGCCTTGTAGTGCCCTCAGCGTGTGGGGAGGGGCTGGGGGCCAGCTTGCCCTGGGAAGGGAGCCGGGAGGATGCAGGGGAGACTGCTGATCCGGCATGGGGAGCAGAGGGCCCCAGAAGCCGGGGCCCAGGATCAGCGTTCAGAGGGTAAGGGCAAGATGTTACCATCATCACAGAGGGATTGCCTCTGTCCCTGTCATCAGAGCAGGGTGGCTCTGGGGCAAGGGTCATGGAGAGCCAAGTGCTCTACTCCAGTGGAGTCCAGAGTCTGTGGCTGAGGGGAGGGAAGCGGCCCAGGGGTGATGCTAGGTTGTGGAGCAGGGCCGTGCTGGGGGTCAGGAGGCAGCGGTAGAAGTGCGCGGGGTGGGGAGAGGAAGTGGTACCCCAGGAACCACAATGGGCCTCTACTGGGCAGCGCCGAGGTCCTTTGGTGCTGTGGGGCAGGGGCGGTTCACATACACACATGCGGCCCTGTCTCCTTGGGACTCTGCCAGCAGGAAGGCATCACCGGCTGAGGCTGGGTGAGCAGGCCCAAGAAGGATGAGCAGGAGGGAGCGGGAGGAAGGCTGCTTGCTGCGGCAGCTGGGTCGCAGGCCTGGGTAACCTGCGGCTGGGATAGGCAGTGGGGCTTTCAATCCAGCTGGGAGGTCAGGTACCCCTGGGGCTCTTCCAGGATCCACACAGCACAAAAAGGGCCCCCCGGCTTGAGTCAGTACCAGGCACTGGCTGTCAGCACAGGGCACAGAGGACAGGTGGCGGGTGCTGCAGAGCCCTGGATCTTTCCCTCCCCCACCGTCCCCTCCCCCCAGGAAGGGTCAGGCTCTCCCGCATCCTGTCACACCCGCTGTGCTGTGGCTGGTGCCCTGCATACCAGCCACCTACTGGGCTCTCCCATCCCACCTTCTCCCTGGCACCCATTCAAGACTGGGTGGCTCAGGGTGTTCCCCTCTGCTCCTGTCCTGCCCAGACACCCCCTCCATGCCCTGCCATTGCTGTCACCAGCGTCACCATCCCAACCCAGCCTTCCTGGAGCAGCCCCAGCTGCCGCTTGTCCCTCCCAGGGTCTACCCAGGCTCAGGGCCTTGCTCCTCTGCAGCTTCTGTGGAATGGAGTGACGGGGGGTTGTCAGCTCCCCGCCCATGTGCGTGGCTCTCAGCCTGCAGGCGTGGGAAGAAGTCCACAGCACCGAGACGCCCAGGGAGGCTGGTCAGGAGGTGAGCCCGCCCCTGGATGCAGGAGGAGACACCTGAAGCTTTGCAGACCTTGAGAGGCCCCTGGATGCGAGGAGGACCACGGCACAGTAGGGCCGCCTCATGGCCGGTCACTGCTGCCGTCGGCCCTGTTCATCCTGCAGAGGCCCACAGCAGGGCTTGGTCCCAGCCCATGCAGCTCTGGGAACCAGACAGACTCTTGGAGCAGGGGGCTGTGTCACAGCAGAGTCCGCCAGACACTGGCCGGTGCATGAGGGCCTGACCCAAGACGCCACCACACCCTGAGAGGAGCACGGCACCCGCAGGAGTGTGGGGGCGTCTAGGTCAAGCGAGGAGCCTGCTCTGGGGCTGGTGGCGGAGGTGATCCTCAGGAACAGCCGTGCCACAGTGCCCTGTCTCCACTCTTCCTTCCCAGCTGAAGGCTTCAGCAGGGCAGAGTTCCAAACACACACTCGAACTCCTGCCGTACGTTCTGACCCTGTCCAGCCATGGTCTGCTCCGGGCCCCGTGTGGGTGCATGGCCCTGTCTGCCTTGTCTCTCTTTCCTGAACCCCATCTGGTGGCACAGGGTTCCAGGAGTTGCCAAGCAGGGCCCTGCAGCCTCCAGTGCAGGCGGCCCAGATGGAAGATTTGCCCTCTGGGCATTGGCCAGAGAGAAGGGTGCTGGGGAGACCCAAAGGGAGCCTCTTCAGCCTGTGGAGCGGAGGGCGCTGCCCACCTCCACTGCCCCTGTCACCAAGTGGTAGGGATGAGGGGTTTGGACACACAGGTGCTGCCTGTGGCAGCGAAGTCCCTGTCCCCCCAGACTGACAGCACAGGGCAGGCTCCCTCCAAGGACCAAGAGTCCATACCTGTTCCACAGAGCTCAGCCTCAGCTCAAGTAGGACCCAGACTCGGTGTCATCGCCTGACGTTAGCCAGGTGACAGGGCGTCCAGAGGGCCTCCAAACCGAACTGTCCCCAGGTGACCCTGCAGGACTGGGGATAATGGAACAGTAGGCAGCCACTGAGTGTCACTTTCAGTCTTGACCTTTCATCCCAGAGGGCTGGAAATCAGGGGCCTTTCCAAGCTCTTTCCACAGCGTGGAGTGGGCCTGGGATTCATGAGGGAAGCGGTGTTTCCTGTTCCAGCCCGCACTGGTTAGATGTTGTTGAAACCACACGCTCCCTATGAGCGGAGGCAGCATGTTTGAGACTCTGCCCTGGGCTGCTGAGCACTGGTAAACAGGGCTAACCCAGCTCGAGGCAGTTGTGACAAACTGTGCTGTCCTCATACACCTCAGGCCTCGCAGGGGCCTTCTGTGCCTGATAGTCTGCATCCTGAGCTTAGCCTCAGCCAACACAGGCTTCTAGAACCTTCTGGAATCTTCTGTGGGGCCTTGTGTACACTGCCTGAGTGTATTCCCATCCTTGCTTCTCCCATCCCAAGAGGGGGACTAGAGCACCTTGAACCTTACCAGCCAAGAAAGTACAAGCCTAGAGAAAACATCCTGGGAAGCCGGCAGGCAGGGGTCCCTGATTGCAGTCCCGGGAGGAAAAGGAAAGGATTACTCTCGGCATTCTGGGGAATCTGCGCCTCAGCTTCCCTGGCCAGGGTCCCTAGGTGAGAGCCATCCCTGGAGTGACCCAGGCCGTGATCTTCAGGGCCTTCCAGAATTACCTCAAGCATTCCTTTCATAAAGATGAGTGTTCTCCATGGAATTGAGTCCACGAGTCTCTATGGTCTTTTCAGATGGTCTTTTCTTTTTATTTTATTGGTGCATTTTAGGTATACATAGTGATAACATTCATCATAGGGAATTTGCACTTGTACACGGTGTATCTTGCTTCTTTTTTCCCATTCCTGTCCCCTCCCTTCAGTCCCTCTTCCCTTCTTTATTTACAGAAGCTTTGTTTCCATCTTTTCCTGCTGTTCTTTTTTTTCTTGTGCCTTCTTTCCTTTTAGATGATTATTAAGATAAGCTCCCCATAAACATGTAGCAGCTGCATCACCCATAAGCAGAAGAGAGGGCCGAGGTCTGTCTGTAGACTTGTAGCTGGTTTGTAACCCTGTCCTGAAATTAACCGCTGAGAAGAAGTGGGTTAAAATGAGCAGATATTGCCACACTGGTGATCCCATCCCAGCAGGTTCTTTGGCCAGGACCACTGCATCTCAGATTGTTCTAGAAGCTTCTTTCTGCCAAGGCTGCTATCAGTACAGTAGGCAGGTGCCAGAGCTCTGGGTCCACTCATGGCCAAACTGAAACAATGGCCCGTGTGTTCTGGTGGTGAGAATGTCCCCAGGCACACTCCTCCCTCCTGGGATCAAAGCCTCGGCTTCCTTTGTGGCACCTGAGACAGCAGGAAGGCTGGAGACTGCGATGGGACCGGAGAAGGGATCCGCCACCCGTCTCCTGGGTGGCTCGGGTTCATTTCCAGTGCGCCTCACAGCCGAATTCCTGCGTCACCCACCCCACAGGCCCTGTCCTGAGACAGACTGGGAAGCAGCTCTGTGAGAGCCAGAGAGGTGGCTCTTCCAGGCTGGAAAGCAGGTTGAGGAGGCCAAGATGCGTCCCTGGGGCCCGGGCCCACCTTACCCCTTCCCAACAGCAGGCCTTCTGTTTCCTCCCTCTGCGTCGCCAGTGCTGGCTGGACCTGGTCTCTGGCTGTGGGCTGCCCCCACATCCTGTCCACCCCACACAGCACACAAGATGCCCACGCAGAGAGGCCGGAGGACAGAGCGGCCCAGGCTCACTCACCAGGTCACTCACGGAGAGACAGGCAGCTTCCCGTCCTAATTAACCATCGTCCAACAAAGCTCTCCCCAGCTGCTCCCACCTTGACCCAGCCCCTGTCCAGCCCCTCAGAGCGTCTAGGCTTCAGGTCCCCATAAATGAGACTCGTTCCGAACCAGCTGAATTGTTTCAGCCTGAGTCCGACTTCAGGGCACCATTCGGCCCTGCTTCCCCTCTGCTCCCTCCTCCTGCTGCTTAGGTCACAGGCGGAGATAAGGGCGCGGAGTCTGCCTGGGTTGTTCTGTCTGGACAATGTGGACTTTGTGGCCAAAGGTCTGGGTTTAGTCTCTGCTTGTGCTGTTCTTGAGCTTTGTGACCCTGGGCAAGTTACACAACCTCTCGGCGGCATCTTCCTCAGCTGCGAAGATGCATCATCACATAGAGCACTCATCTCGTAAGCTTGCTGTGAGGCGTGAATGAGCAGGTCCAGTACTGCCTGGTGCATCCTATGTCTGTACAACTCTTAGGTGTGACAAGGACGTGGACCACATGTCACTGATGTCCTCATTAGCGGGTGGCAAAGATGGTGGAGGGACCCGGGGCTTGGAGTCAGGGGATGTGGCTTCAGGTTATGGCTCTGCCACCCCCTGGGGCAGGGGCAGGGTGCAGATTCGGAGCCCCGGTGCTCCTGTTTCTGAAGCTGGGACCAAGAGTTGAGGATGAGGGTGCGTGAAGGCCCGGGAAGCAGAGCCGGAGGGCGGTGCACCCCACACCTGGCTAACTCTGTCCTCTTTCCCTGCAGGCACACATTCTGGCAGTTCCGCCAAGAGAACCCCAAGACCAGGGTCGGGGGTCCTCCCCCTGAGGGGCTCCCAGGCTTCAACAGTGGGGTGATGCTGCTCAGCCTGGAGGCCATGCGCCAGTCCCCGCTCTATGGCCGCCTGCTGGAAACTGAGCAGGTACAGCAGCTGGCCAGTAAGTACCACTTCCGTGGGCACCTTGGGGACCAGGACTTCTTCACCATGATCGGCATGGAGCACCCTGAGCTCTTCCACGTGCTGGACTGCACCTGGAACCGGCAGCTCTGCACTTGGTGGCGGGACCATGGCTACAGTGACGTCTTCGAGGCCTATTTCCACTGTGAGGGCCATGTGAAGATCTACCACGGGAACTGCAACACCCCGATCCCTGATGACTAGGGGGCCTCTGCGACAGGCCCGGGGCCACACCAGCTCCTCCGGACACTGCAGAGATGTCCTTTGGGATCTGGGTGCTGCCGACCTCTCAGCCAGCCACTCCCTGTTCCGAGAACACCCCAGGAAGACTAGTCTTTCAGTTGGCTGGTGCTCAGGAGCTGAACTCGGGGCCAGCATCACAAAGACAAATGAAGGAATGTCTTCCAGTTGGCTGGGAAGCAGCATCTGAGAAGAAAAGCAAATGATGCCCTTGCACCCAAGGAATCAAAATCCTTTTAAGCACTGACCTTTCCTGGACCAAGTATAGATTTGATTCAAGTCCACAGGCTTGTGTTTTGTGAGAAAGAACAAACAGCACCGCTGTAGCTCTGGGTGAGCTCGGAGTGCGTGAGCCAGGCTTCCAGCAAGCAGCCAGAACGCAGCCTCCCAAGGAACCCCACCCTTCCTCGGCCTCGCCCGGGAGGCCGTGCTCTTCCTCTCAAGATGCCACGAGCTTGGCGCAGACTTCATGCTCCACCTTTTTAGAGGAAACCTCCAGGGCCCGTGTAGCAGTCTGCATATCATAGCCTTCATAGCTTTTATCTCCCAGTTGCATCACAGGACGCCTGTGTCCCGCATCCCTCCTGCAGCCGGCCCCGGTGACCTGACTGCACTAAGAAATCAAGTCCACCACCAAAAAGAACAGAGATTGGCCGCTCCAAGGACATGCAGTAGAATTGCCTGGACTTGGAAGATTGATTCCAAAGAGGAGCCCCGCTGTTCATGAGCGCAAGGCTTATGATCACTGTAGCCTCTCTGTTTAAAAAAATTCATCCTCGCACTTTCCTGCCTATACCCCACAGAAATGAGGATGCGGTTTCTTTATTTCTTCTTGTGGTGGATTCCCCTGCAAGTAAGCTGCAAACTGGAAGCCCAGGGACGTCCATCTCCTTCATGGTTCAGCTGGTGTCCGGGCCCAGAGATGCTATGGGTTCATTCATCTCATCCTGATTCAGTTTCATTTCCTTTTGAATTTCTTCTCACCATGTGTGAGAGAGCTAATAAATAATCTTTGAGAACACAGTGATTCGTGGTGTTTGTTCTCTGATTGCAGCTTCCAGCGGCAGGAGGTTCTAAATGAAGTGTGCGCCAAGTACCAGGCGAGTTCCCTTCTCTTGGTTAAGCCAAGCACACTCACAGTGGGGCTCTGGGGACAGGCAGGGTGGCTTCATATTTGGGTCAGAATAGAGAATCATTGTAGCAGGTCCCTCTGCTCATGGGACACAAGCAACCCCACCTATTTTCACACCTCTTAGGCCAAACCTTCCTCTCCGACCAGTTACCCTATCTCCCGACAGCGGAATGCACTTCTACCCTGACCAGCAACTGGGGCCGAATGGGCCTGGCCTCTTAGTCACTTGATTTTTGATTTGTAGCTACCAGCTATTGAGTGCCAGCTGTGTGCCAGGTATTGTGTTGGGGACTTATCCACGCTATGGATGACATTCATGAAAACCTCAGGAAAGTCGTTGCAGTTCCACAGTTGATCTCAGAATGCATAAGTGATGCAGTGCATACATTGTTTATCACAGCACTTTTCATAACAGGAAAAACTTACGAAAGAAACCTAGAAGGTTGAGTGGGGAAGTAGATACATAACTTTTGCTGCATCCCGGTAATACAGAAAAAGAGGCAGAGAAGAGAGCGAGCCTGCTTTGCTATTGTCATTAGTTCAGCTCCTACAAAGCCCTGTGTTTCAAACACATTAAAAATCAATAATTTCAATGGGGAAAAAATTGGATTAAAGGCTGGAGAATTTTAAATTCACGATAACAAAGGCATTGTTCTGCAATCGTTTCAATAATTAAAGCGCTTCTAAAGCTCTGAGTGTCTTTTTGTTACTGCGAGGGAAAATAATAAACTCCTTGGCCAAAATGGGCACAAACCCAACTGCATCTCCCAATTCCTTTTGTGGTCACCCAGGCCAGAGCTCCCCTCCCGTGCCCTCGACCTTGACCTCACCAGCTGCGGTGAACAGCGCAGTCCGCCAAGCGAAAATGGAGCCAGGTCAACGCAGCCGCAGGTTCCTGGGCTCTACCATGGGCGGCTCTTTGACAACTCCTGATGGGGGTCCTGTTATATTCAGTGCGAAGCAAACAGAATGAACTGTGCTGTGCTCCGTGAGCCTTGTGAGAGCGTTCCCCGTCAAGTTTGTGCCTGTACCTGTGAGGGAATAGAAGCCTGAAAAGAGAACATTTCAGGGTCCTAAAGTTAAGGTATTTTTATCTTCATGTTTCTGTATTTCCCATAATGAATATTGATTGGTATTATAATAAATAATTTTTAGCCACAGTCCTCCCCAAGTACTGACAAGGAGCTTGCTGGCCATTTCTCAGCTTGTAAAGGTTGGCTGCGTCTGACATCACCCACAAGAAAACAACCGAGGCTAAACAGGCCGTGAGTCCTCAGTTTCCCCAATGGATGCCCTAGTTCTCTAAATACTAGTAATCCCATAAGAGCAGCTCCAGGCCCAGCCTTCTTTTCTTGGGTACTGTAGTCTCTGTGTGTACACAAATTTCACCTGGCCGGTGACAATGGCATAGGAAAGCCTGCTGTCTTGCTGATGAGATGGATTCTTGTATGTGTGTCAAGCCAGGCAGGCTGCAGCGACCCCATGGACTGCACTTCATCAAGCCACAAGGTGCCGTGGGGGCTCCCAGCCTGGCACACACTCGGGCCAAGTGCAGCCGTGGCCTGGCCCTGCTTGGACTGAAAGCCGGGTCTCTGGCCATTTGAACACTGCCCAGCTGATCTTTGCTTGGGAGGCCTGCAGATTGGGCCAAATCCAGGTCAGGCAGGGCAAGCAGAAGTCTCCACGCCAGTAGATGGTGTGATCCCAGAGCCTCCCTCCTGAACCCACCTTCTGTGCCCACGACCTGGGCCATCCTGAACAAGCAAGGTCACCTCTTACCCATTTCTGGGCTCAGGTAATAAGAGCCCCTGCCAGGGGGCAGCTGTAGGAGGAAGAGAGATGTGTAAGGACTTGGTGAGCTGTGCAGAAACACAGACGCAAGAGAAGTCTGATCATTATTGCCTAAAACACTCCTTAAATGAGAGACAGCATCCGGGCTCATTCAGTGTGCTGGGAAATCTCCCTAAATCCTTGCCCACGGCTTTGTTAGCCTCAGCTCTCTGGCCAGGGGTTCACAAGGGCTAGGGGGCCCCTCAGCTCACAGGTCCTCTATTAGGGGAGCCTTGGGTAACCCTTTTCCATTTCTAGGCCCCAGTTTTTCTCCACCTGTGAAAAAAAGGAGGCAGCTGGTGGCATGGATCTCTGAGCAGAACATCTGGCCCAACTCTGGGGAGCAGTGGTGTTTCACACCCACCCATGGAGATCACACGCATCCACTGAGTTCACACCCATTCAGAGATTCACACGCATCCAAGGGGTTCACGCTTGTCCAGTGAGTTCCCAGAACCTGGAGCTGGGAGTCCCCAAGCAAACCTTCTAGCTGCCAGTGGGCCCTCACCAATGTGGAATTTATGACCACACAACCTGAAAGTCACCAAACATCTACCCAAACCTGCTTCACTCCCCTTTCTGGGCAGGCAGAGGGAGGGGACAGATCCACGTGGGGAGCCCTTCGGAGTCAGGAGGGAATCAGCTGCCATGCAATAGCCCCAGCTGCCCCGGTTGCAACCGGCTCACAGCTGCCCTGGCTGAACCCTTCTCAGCTCGGCGCACGTGCCCAGCTCCCAAAGGGCCCCCTGGGCACGGCGGCTCTGTAGACGGCACACACCCTGAAGTCACACAGGGGAAGTACTGAGTGCCAAGCCCCCTCCAGAAAGGCCAGGTGGCACTGCCCTGTGGGATGCGGATCACTAGCCAGCCACATGGGGCAGAAACCCTACAGCCGGCACCCCGAAGGCTGCATGCTGGGGTGGCTCAGCTTGCAGAGCTCCCCAGCTGCACCCTGTATGTGTGGAGCAAGGGTTGCACATCCTGAGAGCTGGGGCCTTTGCACGACTCCAAGGCCAGCTGGTTTGTTTAATTTTGAGATGAGGTCTCACTAAGTTGCCCAGACTGGCCTCAAACTCAAGATCCCCCTGCCTCAGCTTCCTGAGTAGCTGGGATTATGGGTGTATGCCACCACGCCTGGTTTTAAAAAATTATGGGTGTATGCCACCACGCCTGGTTTTAAGTTCAAGGCCAGTCTGGGCCTTCCCTCTTTCCCTGTTCAGCCTTCCCTCTTTCCCTGTTCAGCCTTCCCTCTTTCCCTGTTCTGCACTGCCTTAACACCACCTGCCTGCACTACATACAGACTTAGTAGCTTAGTGGGAAGGTGCGAGGGTTCAGTCCTAGTGCCATAAAAACAAACAAAAATCCCCACACCAGTCATGAGCCAACTTCCAGCTGCTACCCCAGGACTCTGGTCCACCCCGTCCACCCACCCATGGGTGGACACGCCCATGTCCCCACCATACTCATCCAGGCAGCACCTCAGCTTCCCTGTTCCTGCTCTTGCGGCCCGGTGAGTTTGTGGTCATGGTTCATAAGGTGGACAGACACTTGCGTTTCTGACCGAGTGCTGCCACCCGCCCGCGGGGTGGTGGCCCCTGGCCACTCTCACCCCACGTGTCCCGCTTTCTGCACACGCTGTGCTCGCATCTCTGTGTGCACAGGCTTGTGGGTTCTGATCATACAGGGAGCTCCAGGTCATGCGTTCCCCAGTCATGGCTGCCATCGCGGCCCACACTCCAGCTCCTGGTGGGCAGAGCCTGGGACCACCCACACGGGCACCCTGACACCCCTCCTGCCCCCCTCAGAGTCTGCAGCCCCATCGGCCAGGGATGGCTGTTCCAAGGGCCAGAATGGCTTTGCCGAGACACCCCGCTGAAGGTGCAGCATTTTTGTGTTTGCCAGCTGTCCTGGGTGGGAGGCAGGTGATCTTCTTCTGTTCGGGCAACAGACAATGGTAGGACTGTCACTAATCTTCCAAGGCTGAGTGAACACACACTTAGGAAAATATAAATGCGTAGTCAGGGCCGGGAGCTTCCTGGTGAATTTGGATCCATCTCCACCTGACCTGCCTTTCGGGGATTAACACCTCTCTAACCAGGAAGCCACGACGGCTCCTCTCCACCCTGCTTTGTCGCTCTCCCATCCCTTCCTCGTGCCCCACCTTCCTCCCAGGACCTCCTGCCACCCTGATCGGGAACGCCCCACCCAGAGCCCTCGAGACAGAGGCTCTGTGGGAAGCTCTGTTTTCGTGGGAAGATGTCCAACCTCTGCTGGGTGATGGGGGCTCCGCTCCATCTACAGGACTTGGACTTAGAGGCTTCTCCAACTTGCCCTGCCACCAACTTACTGTGTCAGCGGAGCAAGTTACTACCATCTCGGGTCTCATTTGCCTCCTTTAGAGCAGAAAAGAGCTGGACAGAGTGTGTAGTTCAGGCCTAGGGGGAAATGAACCCTTCTTTTTTCTTTCTTTCTGTCTGTCTGTCTTTCTTTACTTTTTGGTGTTTTTTTTTCTTTTTTTGTTTTGTCTTTTTTTCCAGTCCCAGGAATCAAACTCACGACCTTGCGCTTGCCAGGCAGGCGCTGTGTCACTGAGCTAAATCCCCAGCCCCCACTTTTTGGTGTTTTGACACAAGGTCTTGCTCTGTAGTTCAGGTTGGCCTTGAACTTTCTCTGTAGCCCAGACTGGCCTTGAACTTGTGGTGATCCTCTTCCCTCGACGTCCCAAGCGCTGGGCTTAATGCGGGAGCCACCACAGCTGGATGTGCCCTGATGCCTCTTGCGCCCAGAGTCCTGCATAGCCCTGCCTGAGACCCCTCCTGTCCTCACCTCCTTCCTTCTCTCCTCTTCCTGCCCCAGCTTGAAGACTGAGCTGACGTTAGGTGCCTCTCCTCTGTCACTAGTACCACTCTGAACACCTCTCTGCAGCCCGGTGGAGTTCTTTGCTTGTCTAGGGTTCCGTAAGGAGCAACAGCCTTACTGAGTGATGGTCTGCACGTCCCAAATGCGTGTGGGAGGCTGGGATGCGGCTCCTGGGGCCTCTGACTACATAGCATCCTGTGGTCCCC